CATAAAAAAAAGTTACAGAACAAACAAATGAGACGGAACAAATAAAATGCAGAAACAATAAAATTTCAAAGAAATACAGACAAGCAGATGAAAATAAAAAACACCTACCGGGTTCAACCGAGGACCTCCACTATCACGAAGCGAACCTCTACCGTTGAGCCACTGCAACCAACTTGAGATTTGATCTATTACCGGCCCATAACCCTAACCCTAGACCCTAAACCCTACCCTAACAATAATCCTAACCCTAACCCTATCCCTAAGTTCAAAAGAAAATAAAATTAGCCAAAAATAATAATAACATGAAATATGACAAATGAGCCAATCACGCAGAACGAGAGTGCCTTGTTAGTTTCAGGATACGAAACGGATCCGGTTGTTTAGACACTTCATTTTTTATATGGCAGCGTATATGTTTAGGGTTAGGGTTAGCGTTAGGCGCTATACTTCTGTAGTACAAGTCCTGGTAAACAACTTAAAAATAGCATATACATCAAGTACACATCGCGGTACATATAATGTATTAACCTGATACGACAACGACACCCTTCAGCGCTAAGTAAATAGTTACAAGCCAACGGCTAGTAGCGTTTACGGAAAAGAGTTTACCGAGAAAGGCAGCCTAGGTGTAGTGCGGAGCGAAGGTGGCTTACCACCGGTAGAAGCTACAATAATACTAAAGGTTCTACTAACCTCAGTACTGAAGATTTCTGCATTCTGTAGCTGCCGAGTGCTTGTACATCAACATAGTAACTCGCTGCCGACTAAGGGCGTATTGAAGCTGACGGTACGCTGGAAACCGGTGACCCACATACCTTCCTAAGCACTAGTGGACAAACCCCCCATACCTTGCCACCACTTATATTCAGTATACAACAACTCCCCGAACTGGTTTTTCCCCATTGGCGCTTGCCCAAAAAAGCCGAGAGTGAGCGCTTTAATCTTATAATACTTATATTAGTTTCACCTGGTAGTCCGAAGCTAGCACCTCTTGTTCCGCCAACGTAACCTGAGACAACGCTGGACGCTGGACTCGAACCAGTACGCGACGCAGACGACGACGACGACCATTGCTGAATGTAGCGATAATTACGAACGATCCTCCGTCCGTTAAAGCTAAAGTCAAGTAGCGTCACGGATCAACTCTCTCTTCAACGGCTCTGCAACACAACCAACACACCCTACTCGCCATGCGCAGTACAATGCGCTGATGGCTCGGCGCCATCCTGCCGCGAGTAAAAAAATAGCCGCGACCCGGAGTCCAGGGAGCCCACGTATTATATTTTACGCTCCGCTCTGCCCGGTCGCCGAATTAAAGGCTTATTAATATTACTTGTGTTCAGTGGGCGTATTTGGGGGTTAGCTTCTGGGTGCGGGATTTATATACTGTAAATTCCTGTATCATAATACGATCTATAATAATGTAATTTTACTAATATATAGATTCGGGAACGACAAAAATATGCGATATCCATACTTCTCTCCCTGAAAAACTGTACTGCCGTATTTTCTGGTTATTATATGCGTATAGCATTCATTCATCCTATACGTACAGTTACCATGCCTATTTTCGTTGGTGAGGATGATATAAAGAATATCACCAATAATTAATATAGCTACTATTTTAAAAGATCCATAAATCGACAGAGGTATAATTATTAATTACAAACAGAATATTTTTTTAAACACACATTTAGTGATTACAGCATTAGTTTCGAGCGACGCACAAAACGGATAATTACCCTTAAGTCAAAAGAAAACACAAAGAACCACAAATAGACGTACATGCTCTGGAGTACTACAAATTCGAACTTGGAATCATACAGCGGGCGTGCATGGAAAGAATCACTGCCCATGCCGAATAACGCCACGAAATCTATGTATCTGAATGAAACTTCATAAATGCCAACCTCAGTTCATTAAAAAAAAGGCGTGTTTTAGTATGAGGAATAAAAATAAACGTGGGCACACATGCAACCCTCGGATCAATCTATATATGACCGCCATCAACAATAGAACATTATAGATAGATCTTAGAGATAAATACTATAATCAAACAGAATATATAATATACATACAATAGATAAAGAGAAAGGCACAGCAAATTGGACACACAAACATCAGGAACAACAAGAAGTGATTAAGAGCATAGACATTCCATTGAATACATTACAACAAATTGCAGACATACAACATACAGACAACAAGAACAGAAAGACATACACATACGACACTAAACAAATATAATTAAACACATACAGGACACAAAAGAGATAATATATTTAATACACAATAGATAAACACCAGAGACAGAAAAAAATGGAACAGCTATTAAGAGATATGAATAAATCAGGAATAGAAGACATATATCATATATATACAGAAATATACAAAAATATAAGCATAAAAAAAAAAAAAAAATAGGACCAAAAATATAAAAAATAAGAAAAAAAAGACAAAATTAGAAATGAATACATCGGCAGCAATTGTAATATAATTAGAATACTGCCCCGAAGTGCAGTATAAAGATAATATATATAAGAACTGTCAGCGTATATATAATAAAGCAAAAAAGATAATAGGTACGCCTAGAAGAAAAAATATATATATAAATAATAACAATGATTCAATGTAAATACCAGATGAGGTGGGGAAATAAAACGAAAAGAAATAAACAAATATAAAAATCTACAGAAAAAAAAGAGAAAGCGCATATATTATATAAAGAAAAAAAAACACCAACACTAAAACACACATACAATAAGAAAGAATATAAAGTTCAGATATAACTAATGAGCTCGACAATATATAGAATACAAACCACCTGAAACACACGAAAAAAATATACAATAAAATATACGTAGAGGAGAATAATAAAAAAAAAAAAAAAACAAAAAAAAGAATAAAAAGAGACAAATAAATATAAGACAAGAACAAGAAGAGAATATAATAAAAGAAGAGAAAAAAGAAAGAAATAGAGAAATATAATAAGAATAAATAAATACAACACATATAATAATAAATAACATAAGAAATCACAACAATAATACAAAATAAGAAGAGAAAGTAAGAATAATAGAAAAAAGAGAAAAAGAAAAAAAAATAAGAAAAGAATAAAAAGATAAGAAATAAAAATGAAAGAGTCAATATATAGAAAAAAAGAACAAATAGCTAGAATAAATACAATAAGAAAAAAAAAAGAAGAAAAGAAAACAAAAATAAGAATAAACAAAATATAAGAGAATATATACAAATAAAAAAAAAAATATACAAAAAATATAGAGAACATACACACAAAATATACGAAAAATAATAGATATAGATAGATGATATAATAAACAACAGAAGAAAACAAAGAAATATACCATATATATATATAATAGAAGACGAGAAAATATATAAAAATAAAAATAAACAGATACATCCGTGGGCAGATCATAATAGAGAGAAAGAGAATAAATAGGGAAAAAGAAAAAATAATAAAGCACATAACCTACATAATATATATAAGAAATAACCAAAAAAAATAAGATACATACGAAAGAATAAATATAGAATAAGAAATAGAATATAGAAATAGATAAGAATAAGATAGATAAAAATAGAAAAAAGATAAACAAATAAGATAAAGATAGACAGATAAAGAAGACAAAAAAATAAAAAACAAGAAGAGAATAAGAGAAAAAGAATAATATAATATAAAAAAAAAAAAAAAAAAAAAAAAAACAAAAAAACAAAATCGGCTGCTTTGTGTGCTGTGGTGTGGCTGTGTGCCGTGTGCCTGTTACCTGTGTAAAGTGCGGCTGCATGTGTGTGCAGTCGTGCGTGATTCATTGGGGGGTAATGTACGTGTGTGGAAATGTGCTATATTATGTTTGCTTTGGGCTTATACGAGAGTCACAAGTGAGCGACGTGAGGTATGGATCATATAATACGCGATGGATATAATGTTGAATATTTTAAAGTGATAATCACTTTACTTGTACAGAAAAGTTTTTCGTTTTTTTTCATTCTTTTTCTCTAGTGGTGTAGCTATATAATGCCTGTTTTTGTACTGTATTACCCAAAAATTTCAATTATTTTAACTGCCTCAACGACTTGTCTCTTCTCAGAGTTATTTCTTGAACAGTCATAGGATAATAATATTAAACTGATAAAGATAGATAGTGATAACTAGTAGATAGATAGATAGCATAGATAGATAGGATAGATAGATAGATAGATATATGATAGATAGATAGATAGATAGATAGTAGCATAGATAGATAGATAGCGATAGATAGATGTAGCGATAGATAGATTTAGACTAGACTAGATAGCATAGATAGATAGATACGACTGATGATAGATAGATAACTGACATATATAATAAACAAAAGACAATAATTAGAGACAACAATGTATACATATATATATATACTACAAGTGTGGCGTAATATGTATACGAAGATGAAAGAGCAGAAGTAGGTATAACACAAATGCCAAGACCAACGATCAATAGGCGGGTGTAAACTTGCGCTACTCTGGGCGATCGTGAGACAAGGCCAACCAGGTTGTGGTGCGAAATAGGTTCGCCATCGCGCTAAGATGGCGTAGCGATCAGTGCTGAAGCAATGGGCCGAAGTTGAGGTTAATTCTGCATGTTCATAGTGCGTTTGCAGAAAATGCCAAGGGCCAACGTTACTGGGTTCAGAGTATTGACAGCCGAGACGAAGTTATACTTACTGCGTTAAGTGGCCCGCGCGCAAAGTCGCAGGGAGAAATGTGGACGGCCGAAGGACATCAATGGTAACTGAAATTCGCGTGAAAATTACGCGCAGCCGGTGAAATCGTGGAGAAAGTCGTCAAACAAGGTGAAGGTGACGAGTGCTGGCGTGAAACGAGCGTATTATCGCGCCTTGCCCGACAAACAACATACCCCTTCTTGCTAGAAATTAGTGACAACACCGCCAAGGAAGACCTCTGGTAACAATTTTAAAGACATGCCTTACCCCCACAGTAACCAAAACTCACGATATGGGGGTGTAAACCGCTACTCTGACCAATATAACTTTGGCTGATAGGGTAGAATATAAGAATTCAAGATTATTAAATTAAAGATTTAAGATAAACTTAGCCATAAGTCGACACTATGGGACCGGCAAACTGACGTTACTACAATAATATACTTGCCTTACTAATATCCGGTTTGTCTCGCAATGGGTGGCTCCAAAGAAGATAATAGAAAGAACACCGACGTTTCGTGTGCTACTGCAAACTTCGTCAGGCTGCACTACGGCGAACGTTGCGAGTGAGGCTTATATATATCCTCGGTTGGATGAGCGTACACACTGCTGTGACAGGCGCTGCTGTGATTGGCTGTCTGACGCATGCGTTTCTTGCGCCGTGCCCGGCGGCTCGGCGCCTGCAGTGTTCTCCCGCGTCGTAACCGGTCTCCAGGCTAGCGTTGGCTCTCGAATCTCACTGTTGTGGGCTCGGACGGCTGTTTGCTACCGTAACGGTGTGATTCATGGCGGCCCGGCATCGGTTGACATGCCACATCCAGAAATTGGGGATATCTAACCCGTTGTCTCTGTTAAAGTTGTTGGGGCGGAGACGAATGTTAATGGCTTCTTTTACCCTCCGTGTGTACCAGTGTCGCTCTTGGGCGAGGCACTGTATCCCTTCCCCGTCAGGTTGGTGCTGGTTCTCCCATGCGTGTTCGGCCACTGCTGAGTTGTCGGTTCGAAGCAGCCTAACATCCCTCTTGTGTTCCGTAATCCTTTCAGCTATAGGTCGGGCTGTTTCACTGATCCAACCGAGGGATATATATAACCTCACTCGCAACGTCGCCGTATCACCTGACGAAGTGTTGCAGTAGCACACGAAACGTCGTGTTCTTCTATTATCTTTTGGACCACCCATTGCGAGACAAACGGGATATATAGTAAGCAAGTTTCATTTCCGCAATGGATAATATTTTTAACCTTACATATATATAAGTTGACAAAATGACGACTCACGACTTATATGTAAGTAGCGTATATATGTAGGTTAGCTCCAAGAAACGGTCTTGCTAGGGTTAGAAGCACAGGCACTTGGAACGTCTGAATAAAAAAAAAATAAGGTAAATAAACATGAAATGTATTTACTACCAAAGTCTTAATGTTTCTCTACTCTATTTCGCCTATAATCACCTGTAAATGCCGGTCAAATGCTCATCTGCAACACACAAGTACACCGCACGCTAGCTGCTGCACACTGACACATAATTTTGTCATAAATATATAGCAGGTAGAAAGCATGCTGCCAAAATTCGCTCGACGCTCGCTTGATTTCATACGAATACAACACAAATATTCAACCATTCTACTCCATCTCTGTTTCTATTTGAAGAACAGTGTTCACTTGTTATAAAAACATACTGTCTGTGTTCGTAACCGAGCAGTGTCACGCAAAATCACACAAAGCCTGACGAAATTCTCGCATTCGCTCTCGTTGCGCAGTTTATGTAAATGGCTGGCGGAATCAGGAAACGCCCACCGGCGCTCTTCGTGACCTCATTTTTGTGCCGCAACGCTGCAACGTTTTTGCAACGATCCACTGGCGGCTTTGACGAGGCTCGTACGGGAGTTGGAAAGCAGCGTGGTAGTTTCCCAAACTGCAGTGCGCTGCCTATAGCCCTGTACTTGCAGCCATTTACATAAACTGCGCAACGGGAGCGAACGCAAGAATTTCGTCAGGCTTTGTGTGATTTCGCGTGACACAGCTCGGTTACGAACACAGACAGTATGTTTTTATAACAAGTGAACACTGTTCTTGAAATAGAAACAAAGATGGAGTAGAATGGTTGAATATTTGTGTTGTATTCGTACGAAATCAAGCGAGAGTCGAGCGAATTTTGGCAGCACGCTTTCCTACCTGCTATATATTTATGTGTCAGTGTGCAGCAGCTAGCGTGCGGCGGCCAGTATGTGACAGTGTGTTGCATATGAGCATTTGGGCGGCATTTACAGGAAATTGTCGGCAATAATAGGTGAAAGAGAGGAGAAACATTAAGACTTTGGCAGTAAATAGATTTCGTATAAATTTATTTAGCGTTATATTTTATTGAAACGCTCCAAGTGCCTGTGGTTAGAAGACCATCGGTCGCACAGCCTGGTCATGGGTAATATGTAGGTATGCGCGTACATATATCGTCATTTTGACGATTTACAAAGCCGATATTTTGACGACTTGGAGAGTCAAGCTGATATTTTGCTAGGCTTTATTCACCAAGCTTATATCTATACATGAATCACTTTTGAGATACTTGAAAGAATAAATTTACTATATGTTACTACATATACGCACACCTGTTGCCGTTCATCTGTGAGCTTGATAGGTTTAGCAAACAATATTAGTATGTAAACGAGGCGTGTTTATATTAGTCCGTTGGACTCCCTTGTTCAAAAGCTAATTTCTACTCCTGCAATACCTGTATGATTGCACAGCTGGACAGAGTTGATTTGGTCCACCTCATATCCAAGAACCTGAAACAATGAATGACATTGACACAGTTAGACAACGAAAACATGCAAACACCGGCGCGCCGCTCTGAAACAATGACATATGTCAGACGATAAGGTAGTGAGAAGTATAAGGTATTATTATTAGATAAGGTATTGTCACATGTCTGAGAGAGATCGACCCCATTCACATATCTAGACAAAGTCAAAGATACACAGACAGGACACAGTCATATATATATATACATCATATACACAGACGTAGACATACACGCATTCCAGAAAAAAAATTCCTTTTTTTTCACGGGAGCTCTTTTTCAAAAGTCCGTGGAAAAATAGCTTTTGTCAAAAATTTTACGGGAGCTATTTTGACCCTTCGGGAGCGATTTCGGAGGTTTGAAAAGCAAATCGCTCATCGCTCCCGTGTATTTTTTGCCCTGACGCAATCAACATAGACACATACGCAAAGACATGCACAGTCACAAAGATAGACATAGACATACACATACAGATATAGATATATATACAAATACACAGACATAAGGATAGTCACAAACATAGACATTAACGTACATACACACACACACGTAGCTATACACATAGTCATTAACATAGACATAGATATATATATACAAATACATAGACATACAGATATAGATATATATACAAATACAAAGACATAAGGATAGTCACAAACATAAACATTAACGTACATACACACACACGTAGATATACATAAAACATAGACATAGATATAGATATATATACAAATACATAGATATACGCACAGGCATAGATAGAAACATAGACACACACATGCAGACATACATATATAATACCTAGTTGACCGATGTACCAGGTGCCCCCAGGGATCGAATGTCATGGCTGGAAATGTGATGGATATATTGCCCTTAGGCCTAGATTAATTTATTGATCCAACCTGCTTTGGCAGCACTTTAAACACGCATGATGAGGGTAGCTTTTAGGGTCATGGTAACGACGTATGATCATAAATTATGTTAAATAGGAATACTGAAAGTAGGGTTGAACCGGCTATAATATGGCCATGGTTAGATGCTAGAGTAGTAATGGTGAAGAGTGTGTGGGGGGTGGGGGGGAGCTAAAAGTAGACCTTAACCGGTTATAAGGCTGAGGTGATCGGTGTTAGGGTTATGGTGACGATGTATGACATTGACAATGCAGACTCGGGGAATTCTTAACGTAAGCACGTGCCGATAGGGTTTAGAACTAAATCGAGGTTCTACGAAGATGAATATTTATGTGCAGGTGTTTTAAAATTATGCATTCATTGTCATAACATCAAACCAGAGTTCTCTCCAGGAATTTTAGAAAGTATGTTGGGCATTCGGAAAATTCATCCCTGAATTTCTAAGTGTGTGGTGTGTGTGTGTGTGTGTGTGTGTGTGTGTGTGTGTGTGTGTGTGTGTGTGTGTGTGTGTGTGTGTGTGTGTGCGTGCGTGCAAAACTGTGAAAACATCATGACCTTAATTGTGTAAATTGTCAAAATTAAGCACAGCTTAAAAGTAAGGCATGTTGGTCAGAAAAGTGATAAATGTAAGAAGTTTAATGGGATGTCCTAAATTAGCTTCAACTTTAAAGACATGCCAGACCCAACTTGCACTAAAGACCTAAGGAGAACCCTGTAACAAACTTATATACTTGAACTTATATTCAGGGTTGTAGCCAGGACAATTTTAGTGCCGGTTATTATCCCGGGTCTCCCTAATACGTCATATGCATAAATTATTATACTATAGTAGAAACATGGTGCTTAGCCAGCTATACTGCATGTACTGTGCGCTGTACAATGTGATCAGATGATTATCGTTGAGTTTAACTCAAGAGTTGTTTTTAAAATTAATTCTAAGTGTATCAGTTGTGATTATTTGTAGATTGCTCACTATTTTGAAGGCAATTTTACACAGACTCAATCATTTTTGTGCCAGTCGGAAGGATGTTATTTAAAGCTGCGTGCCGGTCGGCCAACACCAGAGCCGGCTATTACCGACCGGCGTAGTTACAATTAATGGTGCTTATATTATTTAATGGCGTTACATATAATTTTGTGAGAATTGCATTGCACGTGTTTTACCGCAGACTATGTGGAGATAGAACAACTGGTGAAACTTAACATATACCAGGTCTTAGGCTATGATGATGTGGCTATCAGCGTGTAGCATATTCGCTCCCAATACAGCCAGGAACCCTTCACCATGAGCCTATACTGTAGCCTGGCGCTATGCTTCCTTAGTGAACTTTGAAGGTGCTAGCAATGCACGAATTAGGGTCGTTGTCGTATCAGGTACTACATATATGTACCCGAGGTAGTTTTAGGTTGTTTAGTATTATGTTAGATTTTTATATGAGGTATGTTTAGGGTTAGGGTTAGCGTTAGGGTATACTTCTGTAGTACAAGTCTGGTACACTTTGTGTATACATACATGTACCTCGGGTACATATATGTAGTACCTGATACGACAACGACCCCTTCAGCGCTAGTAATAGTACAAGCCAAGGGTAGTAGCTTTACGGGTTACCGGTATAGGACCTAGTGTAGTGGGAGCGAAGGTGGCTACACCGGTAGAGCTACAATGGTACTAAAGCGTTCTACTAACTCAGTAACTGTATTTTTGCATTCTCATGATTCTGTAGCTGGCAGTGCTTGTACTAACTTAGTAACTGCTGGACTAAGGCGTATTGAGCTGACTGTACGCTGGAAACCGGTGACCCACATACCTTCTAAGCACTAGTGGACAAACCCCCAACCTCACAACTAATTATTACAATGCCGAACTGGTTTTTCCCCATTGGCCGCTTGCCAAAAAGCGAGAGTGAGCGCTTTAATCTTATTACTATATTAGTTTCACCTGTAGTGGGAATGTAGCACTCTTGTTGCCAACGTAACCTGAGACAACGTGACTCTGGATCGACAGTACGCGACGAGACGACGACGACGACATTCTGATGTGCGAAATACGAACGATCTCCGTCGTTAAAGTAAAGTAAGTGCGTACGGATCAACTCTCTCTCTCACGCTCTCACACAACAACACACCTACTCGGCCATGCGCGTAATTGGCGATGGTGGCGCCATCCTGCGATAAAAAATGCCGCGTTGTAGTCAGAGCACGTATATAGATTCTGTGGATGTTTGCGTGCTCTGGTCGCGAATTAGGCATTTTTATTACTTGTGTTCAGTGGGCGTATTTGTGTTAGTTCTGAGTGCGTATTATATATGTAATCTGTATCATTTCGAATCTTTATATTGATATTTTCTTATTGATTGGGAAGACAAAAATATGCGATATCCATACTTTCTCTCCCTGAAAATGTACTGCTATTTTTCTGGTTATTATATGCGTATAGCATTTTCCTTACTATAGTTACATGCTTATTTTCATTGGTGAGGATGATATAAATATAACCAATAATTATAAGCTATATAAAAAGATCCATAAATCGACAGAGGTATAATTATTAATTACAAACAGAAATTTAAACACACATTTATTTACAGCATTAGTTTCGAGCGACGCACGAAAAACGGATAATTTACACGTAACGTGTTCCAACACTGGAAAGTGGGCCTCATGCATTCCCTTATTCAGTCCGCCACGTAGGAACGTACATGCCTTGGAGTACTCATTCTAACTGGAATCATCATGCTGCGTGCATGGAAAGATCCTGCCATGCCGAATAACGCACGAAATCTATTTTTGAATGACTCTAAATGCCACTCAGTCATTAAAAAAAAGGCGTGTTTTAGTTTGAGGAATAAAAATAAAACGTTGGCACACATGCACCCTCGGTCTAATTATATATGACCGCATTCAACACTGCTTGTGGTTGGTGTGACTTTCAACAGTATAGTATACGTACTGGTAAGAGAAGAGGCACGCACTGGCCCCACTCGGACGCGAGTGTAGGCTGCTTCCATTGAAATCTTCAAACATTGCAAGCTCACTCGCCCGACGGGCTCCTCGCATAAACTATAATACAACTCGGGCCACATAAAGGTTTTTTTAAATCACGAAATGTAAACACCGGAAGCGAATGGCGCTTAGAAGTTGTCGGATGAAGCCATTTCTTTATTCGATATTCCAAAAATATACCTGCAAAATATATGGGCAAATAGAATGTCAATCGGGCTTGTATATTTTATGGAATACTTGCCCGAAGTGCAAGTGGTTTTTCGGGAGGACTGTCAGCGTGATATTAGAGCAGGAGCCCATATAGGGGGTACGCCTAGCTGAAAAAGAAAACAATTTCATGTATATAGCAATGATTCATGTACATACCAGTGGCGGATCCAGGAGGGGCACATGAGGCGGTCGCCACCTAGGAATCTACAGGGAAAGGGTAATTTTAGCGTAACCCCCCCCTCGGAGGCTTAATTTCGTGCCCTTGAGCTCGCATGATTCGCTCCCCCCTGCACGATATCCCTCCTAGACCCCACATTCGTGCCAGGTAGAAGGAGGTGGGGCGAAATCATGCCGAGCTCAAGGGCACCGAAGCTCTCTTCGGCGGGGAGGGGGGGGGTTAGACTAAAATACCTTGCCCTAAAAAATTCACTTCTGGATCCGCCACTGATACCCATGTAAGGAAATGTAAGTCTGGCGGGCAGCCGCTGGTGGGTTGTGGTCAGTGGGGTCATTGAAAAGCACCCCAAAATTAGAGCTAGCTTAGCTGGAGAGGAAACCCAATGAAAACCTATTAGTCAAATGTTCGCCATCCGTCCCAGGTATCATGAATGGACACTGCCAGAAATTCCGGAACAGGTAATGTTTGCTGGAGGGTGTCTCCGGAACGAGCGGAAAAAATAGGACCTATATATGCTTTGGGACGGGAAATATATGTGAAAATGGCGGGACGTGTGTGAATGTGTATATTATGTTGCTTTGGGTTTATACGAGAGTCACAGTGAGCGAGTGAGTATGGATATATAATGACGCGATGGATATATGTTGAATATTTTAAATGTAATCACGTTTCTTGTACAGAAAAGTATTTTCGTTTTTTTATCATTCTTTCTTCTCTGTGGTGTAGCCTATATAATGCCTGTTTTTTGTACTGTATTACCCAAAAATTTAATTATTTTAACTGCTCAACACTTGTCAGATTTATGTTTCTATGAAAAAGTTTCTATAAATAGATAGATGATTATAAGATAGATAGACAGATAGATAGATAGATAGATAGAGTAGATAGATAGATAGATAGATAGATAGGATAGATAGATAGATAGCATAGATCGATAGATAGATAGATAGATAGATAGATAGCATAGATAGATAGATAGACGAATAGATAGATAGATAGCATAGATAGATTTAGATAGATAGATAGATAGAATAGATAGATAGATAGATAGATAGATAGATAGATAGACATATATAATATAACAAAAAGACATATAATAGAGCAACATATGTATACATATATATATATATACTACAAGTGTGGCGTAATATGTATAGAAGATGAAAGAGCAGAAGTAGGTATACACAAAATGCCAAGACCACGATCATAGGGGGTGTAAACTTTTGTGTAAACGCTACTCTTGAGCGACTGTGAGAAAGGCAACCAGGTGTGGTGCGAAATAGGTCGCCATCGCGCGTAGAGATGGCGTAGCGATCAGTGCTGAAGCAATGGCGAATGTTGACGGTTAATTCTGCATGTTCATAGTGCGTTTGGCCAGAAACATGCCAAGGGCAACGTTATGGTTCAGTTATTGAACAGCGCGAGACGAAGTTATATTACTGCGTAAGTGGCCCGCGCCAAAGTCGCAGGAGAAATGTGGACGGCCGAAGGACATCAATGGTAACTTGAAACTTTCGCGTGAAAATTACGCGCAGCGTGAATCGTGAGAAAGGCGTCAAACAAGGTGAACGGTGAGAGTTGCTGGCGTGAAACACGTATTATCGCGCCTTGCGACAACAACATGACCCGTTCTGCTAGAAATTAGTGACAACACCCAAGGAAGACCTCTGGTAACAATTTTTAAAGACATGCCTTTATACCCCCCACAGTAACCAAAAACTCACGATATGGGGTGTAAACCGCTACTCTGACCAATATAACTTGCTGAATAGGGTAGAATATAAGAATTCCAAGATTGATAATTATAAGATTTACAGATAAACTTAGCATAAGTCGACACTTATGCGGACCGGCAAACTACGTTACTGACATATAATTATACTTGCCTTACTATATATCCGTTTTGCTCTCGCAATGGGTGGTCCAAAGGATAATAGAAAGAACACCGACGCGGTTTCGTGTGCTACTGCAAAAGCTTCAGTCAGGTGCATTACGGGCGACGTTGGCGAGTGAGGTTATATATATCCCCTCGGTTGGATTGAGCGGTACACCTGCTGGACAGGCGCTGCTGTGATTGGCTGCTCTGACGCATGTGTTTCTTGCGCCGTGCCCGGCGGCTTGGCGCCTGCAGGTTCCCGCCGTCGTAACCGTCTCTGGCTAGCGTTGGCCTAATCTCACTGTTGTGGGTCGGACGGCCCGTTTGCTACCGTAACGTGTGATTTCATGGCGGCGTATCGTTGACATCCAGAAATTGGGGATATCTAACCCGTTGTCTGCTGTTAAAGTTGTTGGGGCGGAGACGGAATGTTAATGGCTTCTTTTACCTCCGTGTGTACCAGTGTCGCTCTTGGGCGAGGCACTCATATCCCTTCCCAGTCAGGCTGGTGCTGGTTCTCCCATGCGTGGTTCTGGCCACTGCTTGAGTTGTCGGCGTTCGAAGGCAGGCCTAACATCCTCTTGTGTTCCGTAATCCTTTTCAGCGTATAGGTCGGGCCTGTTTCAACTGATTCCAACACGAGCGGATATATATAACCTCACTCGCAACGTCGTCGTATCACCTGACGAAGTGTTGCAGTAAGCACACGAAAACGTCGTGTTCTTCTATTATCTTTTGGACCACCCATTGCGAGACAAACGGGATGATATAGTAAGCAAGTTTTCATTTCCGCAATGGGATAATATGTTTAACCGTACACATATATATAAGTCGACAAAATAGACGACTCACGACTTGATAGTAAGTAGCGATATATATGTACGGTGTAGCTCCAAGAACGGTCTTGCATAGGGTTAGAAGCACAGGCACTTGGAACGTGCTGAATAAAAAAAAAATAAGGTAAAGTTAAAACACGAAATGTATTTACTGACCAAGTCTTAATTGTTTCTCTACTCTAGTTCGCCTATAATGATATCACCTGTAAATGCCGGTCAAATGTCAGTCTGCAACACACAAGTACACCGCACGCTAGCGGCCTGCCCACACTGACACATATTTTGTATAAAATATATAGCAGGTAGAAAAGGTGCTGCCAAAATTCGCTCGACGCTCGCTTGATTTCATACGGAATAACACACAATATTCAACCATTCTACTCCATCTCTTTTCTATTTGAAGAACAGTGTTCACTTGTTATAAAAACATACTGTCTGTGTATTGTAACCGAGCAGTGTCACGCCAAAATCACACATATGCCTGACGAAATTCTCGCATTCGCTCTCGTGCGCAGTTTATGTAAATGGCTGGCGGACCGGAATCAGGAAAACGCCCAGCCGGCGCTCTTCGTGCAACTCATTTTTTGTGCTGCAACGTGTTTGCAACGAATCCGACTGGCGGCGTTGACGCGGGCTCGTACGGGAGGTTGGAAGCCAGCGTGGTAGTTTCCCAAACTGCATGTGCGGGCTGGCCTATAGCCTGTAGCTTGCAGCCATTTACATAAACTGCGCAAAAACGGGAGGAACGCAAGAATTGTCGTCAGGCTTTTGTGTGATTTCGCGCTGACACAAGCTCGGTTTACGAACACAGACAGTATTTTATTATAAACAATGGTGAACACTGTTTCTTGAAATAGAAACAAAGATTGGAGCTAGAATGCGTTTGAATATTTTGTGTTGTATTCGTACCGAATTCAAGCGAGAGTTCGATTCAGCGAATTTTCGGCAGCCACGCTTTCCTACCTCTATATATACCTGTGTCAGTGACTGCAGCAGCTAGGCGTGCTGGGCGGCAGTATGCTGACAGTGGTGTTGCCAGATG